GGAGGAGGAGGAGGAGGAGGAAGGAGGGGAAAAGAGACGGATATGCTCGGATGTGATCCGTGATTCGTACACCGGTATCACACCACCACCACCGGTAGTGGAGGAGGAGGAGGAGGAGGTGAGGAACGAGTGAGGAGATATACCCTTCCCCGTCCCGGTCTGGAACCATTCTTCCACTCCCCCGATCCCGGAAACACGGGAGGAGGAGGAGAGGAGTCCAACGACTTCAAACGGTCGACGGACCAGTCTGACCAGACTGGCCGAGCCCGATCCCATCCCCCCCGCCAAAGGGTTGCGGTGAAGCTCCAGTGGCGCACCGGCACCGAGGTGCGGTTGGAAGAATTCACACGACCGTGTCGCTTCCGCCCTCGCCGCGACTTGTCCCGAAACAGACCTCGCCGACGCCGACGCCGACGCCGCCTGGCTGGTTTCGAGCGAATCTGCAAAGACGGCGACGCGCAGCCGGTCCGGATGTGCCAAGACGAGGTTGTGCAGCTGCGGCAGCAGAAGCGCGGATCGCAGGCTCGATGTGGCGTATAGCAGCGTCAGTTTGGGCCGGCGTGCCGCCGCTCCAGCATCGCCCGTGGGTCCATTCGGCGAGGATGACGATGATGGTCGACCGAGCAGCGACGTGATGAGCTGGTAGGCCGGCGTGATGCCCGTCCCACCGACGAGCATGACGATTTCCTCTGGCGGCGAAATCGGCTCCGTCGTTGCCGTCGCCGTCGCAGCATGGTGGGCGGCGTAGCTCCACGTGTCGACGGGACCGCGCACCTCGACCTGGTGGCCGGGCGCGAGTCGGTGGGCGTACCGACCGAGTTCGCCGTCGGGATACCGCTTGATGATGAGGTCGAGGTGCGGTCCGGCCCCGACGTGGCTGCCGGGGAGCGTATCGTAGAGCGGCGTGTAGGCGCGTTCGATCTGGAGCGCCGGTTCCTTGATGTAGACGCTGCGGATGCGCAGCCGGTCCATCACGTCGTCGCCATCCTCGACGTTTCTTCTGTCCGCAGAGGGCGATGGGGGGGCAGGGGAGAGGGGAAGGAGGATCTGAAGGTGCTTGTGCTCCGACGCCGTTTCCGTCGGGGTCGGGTAGAATTGGGTCGAGACGAGGGGCAGGCTGTTGTAGCGCCGCGGCTCGAGATGCAGCTTGGCACGTGCGGCGTCCGACGACGACGAGGGCGGGCTGGAGAGGAAGAAGTAATTGAGCGCGCCGATGGTGGCTGTTGTAGCGAGGATGTAGACGATGGCTCGGCCTTGACCCCCGCTGCTGCCGCCGCCGCCGCTACCCTTGTCCTGAGGGCTGGAGCCGGGGTCAGAGCTGGGATCGATGGTTGGCCGGGCGGTGCCGCTGGGATCCGACGACGACAGAGGCAGGGAGTGGTGAGGCGGTGTGGAAGCAAACGTGTCGGGTTGAGGAGGAGGCGTCGGCTGGGCCGAGTAGAGACGACGTGCGCCACGAGCGTACCGGGGCCACGCCGGGTTGGGCAGGTGCGAGAGCGAGCCAGAGGCGAACGCAGAGGACGAGGACGAGGCGACAGCGGGCCGAGTCGCGGCCACGTTTGCGACGGCGGCGCAGACGGCCCTGGTAGCGGTGGCCTTCATGTCGTCGGCGGCAGCGGTCCGCGTCGAGGTGCGTGCGTGCGCGCGGCGAGGGGCAGAGAGAGAAGAGAGAAGAGAGATTGCCGGTCGAGGCGAGTACGGGCGTGGTGGTTGCAATGGTGGAGCCCACGTTGGTTGTCGAGGCGAGAGGGCGTGGTGGGAGGAGGAGGGCAAGAGCCAGACCGAGGAGCAACGAGGGGAGCGTCGACCAGCCAGGGTCCTCGGCGTCACGTAAGAAGAGGTCGAGGCCAAGCCTGGCTGGGCTGCTGTTGCCCGACTTCCGACAAGGCGGCGGGGGGCGGGCGGCGGGCGGCGTCACCGGCGACTTTGTGCCCGCGCCGTTGCAGCTTGGTTGCCTGCGGCGACGTAGGCTCTCTATCTGTGCGCACCGCCGACGCCCACCTCCGGCGTGGACCGTGGATCGACCCACGGCCGGGGAACCTTCTTTCCAATGCATCGCTCAGATAGAGTGCAGCACAACGTGACGCCTGTCAAACCCCACCCCCACGACGGCGACGCGCCGCGCACAAGCAACCTGTTCGATGAGCCTCCGTCCGTCGCAGCCTGGCCCTGGCCTGCCGTGGGTCTCGCCCGCCTTCTGTGGCATCGATTGGCCTGCGTCGAACGTGCCGAGTGCGGCCATCCAACAGAGCGTCTAGGCGAGCGTCGACGCACGACGAGCGACAACGTGCTCGACCTCAGTCTGTTCGGCGTCTTGGAATCGACCGAGATACCCGCCACGGCTGGTCACTGGGGGGCACGACATGCAACAAGGGGCCAGGGTTGAGCCCCGGCGTGCTCCACTTCTCTTGACGAGGGTTCGGTTGGGGGTTGGGGCTGCTGGCCATAAAGGCGGCGTGCCCTCTGCTCCATCTCCCTCCGGCCTCGGTCCTCCGTCTCTCCACCACCTCATCTCCACCGCCACCTCGACTGCCACCGCCACCGCTTCTCTCGCTCTCGCTCTGCTGGCAAGGACCATCCTCCGCACGCCATGCCCTACCCGCGCCTCAAGCGGGCGCTGCTCGCCTTCCTCGTCCTGGCACTCGCCCCCTGCCTCTTCCTCACCCTCCTCCAGCCCGCCATCGCCCACCCCTTCCTCTCCTCGACCGCGCCTGACCAGCTCAAGCGCATCGTGCAACGCGCCGTCTCCCACCAGCAGCAGCAGCAGCAGCAGCAGCAGCAGCATCCCTTCCCCGTCTCCGACGACCACGCACCACCGACCCGCAAGCGCGCCACCTCGCTCACCATCGCCTCGTTCAACATCCGCTACTCGAACGACGCAAACTACGACTCGGCCCGCGCCCCCCTCCAGCGCATCAAGCGCGCCATCACCGGCCGCAAGCAGTCCCAGCAGCACGTCGACGAGGCCGTGCCGGCGCTGCCCCACCAGACCCCCCTGGTGGCCAGGGGGGCCAACCCGGCGCTCCGCCAAAAGTACTGGGGCGAGCGCAGCTGGTTCCTCCGCGGGCCACGCATCGCCGACACCGTCCTCTTCCACAACTGGGACCTGTTTGCCATGCAGGAGGTCCTCGACGCGCCCTACTCGAACCTCCGCCAGTGGATCGGCGACGACTACCAGACCGTCGGCGTCGGCCGCGACGACGGAAGGCGCGCCGGCGAGGCCGTGCCCCTCTGGTGGAAGCGCGACGTGTTGGAGCTGGTCCCCGAATCCCAGGGCGGCGTCGGTCCCAAGGGCTACGAGCACTTCTGGCTCAGCCCCACGCCCGAAAAGGTCGGCAGCGTCGGCTGGGACGCCGGGCTGACGCGCATGTGCACCCACGTCGCCCTGCGCATCAGGGACACGGGCGAGCTGGTCCACGTCTTTTCCACCCACTACGACAACGCCGGCGTCGTGGCCCGCAGCGAAAGCAGCAAGCTCATCCTCAGGCGCGCCCAGCAGGCCGCCGACAAGACCAAACAATGGCAGCGCCGACACCATCCCGCCGGCAGCGACAAGGCGGACGACGTGGCCGAGCCGCTCGTCATCCTCGTCGGCGACCTCAACAGCCCGCGCAACGAAGGCTCCTGGACCTCGCTCGTCGGCGGCCACTACTCGGTGCCCAAGGACCAGACCGGCTCGACGGGCCCCTCGTTCCTCGACACGGCCCTGTCGGTGCCCACGCTCCACACGTCGCCCTACCTGACCATCGACGAGTCGCCGCGCGACGCCCAGCTGGCCTCGGGGTCGGTGGCGCCGCAGCCGTTTACGACCAACATTACGTCGTCGGAGCGCGGCCGCCTCTCGGTGCCCTACGGTCCCCTGCGCACGTTTACCGACTTTGAGCCGTCGGACCGCACCGCCGTCGAGGACCGCCTCGACTTTATCATGCTCCTCGACAACGGCGCCGTCGTCGACCAGACGCGCGACGACGCCGTGCTCGAGGGGACAAAGAAGCGCAGCGACGGCGGAGGAAAGACAGAGGGCGGGCGGTGGAGGATCAGGAGCCACGGCGTCGTGTCGAGCTGGAGCGAGACGGATGCCGGGTTCCTGATCAGCGACCACCGTCCCGTCGTGACTCGCATCGAGAGCCGGGCGTGAGCGCGCGCGCGCGCGGCGGCGGCGACTGTATGTTGACCCCGCAGCCGGGATGCTTGGCTCGATGTCTGCCGCCATGCTGTGTCGGAATGGAATCGAACAAAGATCAGTCGGCAGAGTCCCGCATCAGGCTCGTTGTGCGTGATGCCGCCCACCACGGGCTGAAGGTAGGGTCAGCAGGCCAGTCGGCAGGCCAGGTACAAGTGCGAGTTTCGTGAGCGGGTCGGCCGATGATGGCCCGCTTTTAGTGTACAGAGAGGTGTGTGTTTGTGTGTGCGTGTGCGAGATGCGGGTGCGAGGTGCACGTCGCTCGTCGCACGATCTCGCCACGGCATCAAGCTGCGCGGCCAGGCCAGGATGCAGCTCCGGGTGCGAGAGGCGACGGGGGCGAATCAGAGAGCGCCACTGACGGCACCTGCGGCGCGCTCGTTGCTGACCCTGCGTACATAGGTGGAGGAGACGACGTTGAAGGCCTCAAAGTACCTCTCCATGCACCGGGTGAGGCAGGTCTCCTCCTTGCCCGAGAGACCCGAGGCGCCGGGGGCCGGGATGCACTTTGCGTAGCACTTTTCCGTCGCCTTTGTGATGAGCTGCTGTGCGTTGGCCATTGCCAGCTCCGACGTCCTGTTTCACCATTCCGCCGACGGAGAGCAAAGAGGAGGGCAGGTCTGGGTGAGCGGGTTCGAGAGGCAGTGATGAAGAAGAGGGGAGCGAGGAGCGAGGAAGGGGGGAGACGTACACTTGTTGCTTGATAGCCTCCTTCTTTTCGGCCGCCGTCGAGCCCTTGAGTCCCGAGAGGTTGAAGTCCATCGTAAACGGAGATGCGTGTGTGTGTGGGCTGTGTGTGGTAAGGGTCGGGCGAGGTGCGAGTTGCAAGGTGCGAAGGTCGTAGTGGTGGTGGTGGCTGGTGGAGGCGAAAAAGGTGAGCCGCCGTGGCTGCTGATGGCCCCGCCCCATCTCGGCGAGAAGATTACGTGGTGCTGACAGGCTTGGCTGTGCGGGAGAGGGAGAGGACAGACGGCAGGCAGGCAGGCAGACAGGCAGGCAGGCAGGCAGGCAGGCAAGTTGACGGCAAGCTGCATGACTTCGGATCTCGGACAAGCGGCCGCCCTCTCGTCAGCCCTGCAGCTGTCCACGTTTTTTTTCGCAATTTTCCGATGAGTTTCTTCCAGGCAGGTGGGCGGGCCCCGCTGTTGCCTCGGGCGCCGCCGGCTACGGCTCGACATGGCGGGCCGGGCAGGGGGATGCGGATCGACGCCGCCGAGGGCCAAGCAGAGGACCCTTGCCTGCCTAGCCTCCCTAGCCTGCCTGGCCTGCCTGGCCTGCCTGTCTGGCCAGGACGTGGACAACATCGCCACGACCACCACCGCATCCGTTCGCCTCTACCTAACCTATCGAACCCACCGCTCCGGGAATCGACCTCGCCAAGGGCCAGCACTCGCAGAGGACCGTCGGGTCATTGTCGTCCATCCGCTCAATCGACCACGACCTCGAGCCGCCGTACCGGGCCGCTTCTCTGCGCACAGAACGATCCGAGATACCGGTTCAATCCACGCACCGCAGCATGGCGCCGAGCCTCGTCATCCGTGCGTCGTCCGCCTCTCTTCTCTCTGCCACCCGGGAAGCCTCTCCTTGCTGATCAGTGTGGACCCCACCATCCCTGGCTGCCCCGCAACAGACTCGGTGGCCGCGTTTGCAAAGGCGCTGCTGCGCTTCGGGTGCCGCGATGTCCAGGTCAATGGCCTCGACAACTTCCTCAAGGTGCTCCAGGATCAAAAGAGGCGCGACGAGGGGCGGGGGATATTGACCTGTGCGTCGCTACGAACCTGCTTCGAGCACGAGGCCGACGGCGGCGAGCTGAGCTGACACTCCGGGCGCTCCTCTTCTCCCTCGACGGCCGCAGATTGCAACCACATCTCGGTGTGAGGATCCCTTGTTGTCCCCGACATCGGTACCAGCGAGCTTGTAGCGGTCGGATGCTAATGACGCTCGCGCTGTTCTACACCTCTGGGCCCCGCCCCCTCCCCGGCAGCATGGATGAACCGACCATCTGGGGCGCGTTGCCGTGGTGGACGTTCCGCTCGCCCTCGACGACGAGGTGGACGCTGGGCGCCAGCGACATCATGTTTACCAATGAGTGCGTGCCCCTCTCCCCTGATCCCCCCATCTCATCCTTGGGACCTCCCCCCGTCTGACGCGCTTCGCTCCGCCTCGCTCCGCCTCTGCCCCCTTGCTCTGCGTGCGTGCGAGCAGCGCGCTGCGGCGCTTCTTCACCGCGGGCCAGGTCATCGAGACGCACCGCGGCGGGGGCATCTTTCAGCCCTCGATCGACACGGCCATTTCGAAGCTGGATGCGGGCCAGTGGATCCACCTCTTCCCGGAGGGCTACGTCAACGTGGGCACGACGACCAAGCTGCGCCGCTTCAAGTGGGGGTTGAGCCGCATGATCCTCGAGGCGCAGCAGACGCCCGTCGTCGTGCCCATCTGGATCACTGGTGCGTCGCTGCCCGTCGTCGTGCCTCGTTGGGACCCTCTGCTGCCCGGGACTGACCATTGGCGCGACCCGTCTGAGACCGCTTGTCCCCTCCCCGCCCCCGCTTCCCCTTGCTGCTGCTGCTGCTGCTGCTGCTGCTCGCCGCGCTGGCAGGCTTCGACAGGCTGATGCCAGAGCCGAGGTCATGGCCCAAGTTCCTACCGCGGCTAGGTGCCTCTGTGTCGATCACGTTTGGCGAGCCGGTGCAGGATCGCCTCTCTGCGCTGCTGAGCGGCGACGGCGGTGGCGGGTCAGAGGGGATAGACGATACGCTGCGGTGTCACGACAGCGAGCGGGCCGTCGCAATGATCGCGTCGTCGTCCTACCCGACGCTCTCGCCCACATCACGGGGCTACGCCTCGCTGCGCACCGAAACGGTCGAGGCGGCGCAAAGACGGAGCGACATGGCCGCGATGCTGCGCTACGAAATGGCCCAACTCGGCCGCCGCGTCCGCATCCTCAACGGCCAGGATCCCGATACAGAGGTGCCCCTCGTCCACACCGCCACCCTCATCCCGCACACCAAGACCGGCATCGTCTCCGACCCCGCCGCCGATGCCCGCGGCCCAACAACGAGCAAAGAGGGACTCGGCTCCACCGTCGAGCGCAAAGTCAAGAGCGGCCTCGGCAAACACGTCCCCCGCCAACAGGCCGAACAGGGCTGGAAGGACAGCGCCACCTGATCCTCCCCCCGTCTGTACCGTCGTCGCCGCCTCCCCCCCTCTGCCATCGCATCGCATCGCATTGCATCCCAGACGCGCCTCTCCGCCGTCGTCGACTGCTCTCCCTTTCCCCACTGCGCGCGCCAAATGCCCTATATATACGTTATCCTGCACAACCGCAACATCAAAGGGTTCTATGGAGTAGTGGTCAACTCTAGCGGTTCTGACAAATTCCCTCAGGATCCCCTTGATGTCAAGGGATGGTTTCGCTTCCGCTCGCCCCCGGTTCGAATCCGGGTAGGACCTCATCTTTTGCCGCTGCGGCTTTTTGGGGGCGGGTTTGGCCGAAGGTGAGCGAGCGGGTCAAGAGCGGGTCAAGAGCGGGTCAAGGGCGGGTCAAGAGCGGCCGATTGGAACCTCGCACTGAAGGTGACAGGAAAACGCCATGGTGGATTTCCGAGCTCGCCCGCACGCACACCTCCGGGGGCCGGTCTCGGTAGGGTGACAGACAAGGACGAGGTGAGATGAGATGGACGAGGCTAAGCGGCGACTGGCTCTCTGCCCTTTCAGGAGCGGGGTCTACCCTTCCACCAAGCCGCGAGACCGAGGTCGTGCATCTGCTGCCGCGTCGGGCTGGGCAGGCTGACGTCGCGGATGCCCGGCGGTTCAAAGGTGTCCTCGACGAGACGACGGCCGCGGCGCATCATGTACTCGATGGCCGAGATGTCGCGGCGCGTCAGGCCGCCGCCCATATCTGGATGCCGGAAAAAGTGACGCAGGTACAGGGTGAAGTTGTACCGCGTTTCCTGCGGTGGAGGGTCGAGGTGGTTGAGAGGGTCGAGTGGAAGCGGAAGAGGGGGAAGAGGGATGGATCAGCGAACCGCTACCGAGCGAGGCGGAGGGAGGGGGAGCGGGGGGAAGGGAGACGTACGACTGGCTTGGTACGGATACACCGTAACCCCTTCCTGTAGAGGGCGAGGACCTCTTTTTGCGCCGCAGTCAGTCGGACTGGCATGGTGGTGTTCGTCGTCGTCGTCTTTCTGTCCTACGTCGTCGTTTCTGCTTCTTCGCAGTGGCGATATCCGTGGGTATCGACGGATGTAAGAGCGTGCGCGTAGAGGAGAGCGATAGTGGTGATATGCGGACTCTCGGAGCTGCAAAGCCGGTGGATGCTGGGACGCAGGTAACCCTGCGATCTGGGATGCCGGATGGTGCTGTGCAATGCGCGACGGCTACGTCCGTCTGTCTGTCCGTCTCGAGAGAGAGAGAGGTCAGTCCAAGTCCGAGTGTCGAGTGTCGCGTGTTTGACGTTGCAATGCTGCACCTCGCTGATATCTGGTCGCGGTCGATGTCGATATCAATACCGTCGTGTCGTGTGGTGTAGTACAGCGAGGCGAGATGAGGTGAAGTGTGGATGCGGTGTGGCGAAGTGAGGTGTGAAGTGAGATGCGCGAGGAGCGAAAGCAAAGCGTCGAGCCCTGCTCCGTGCGAGGGTCGGATCCACGACCGCGACCCCCCGCAGTGCAAGTGGAGGCTCCAACCCAAACCCATCCCCCTAGCGCTGCCACCTTCGTCCGCCCATCATCACGTCAGCACCCCTCCATCCCAGCCGATTTGCTCCGACCCCCCTAGCCTCTCCTGCACACCGTCGAATTGAGCAAGTCACACGACCCTACCCAACGTCGTGGCGCCGGACAGATGTGTCCAATAGATGCGGTTGACCAAGCGAGAGGGGGAGAGAATGTTGAGAATACATGGATGCGAATGGCGGTGGGGGATGCAGGATGTCGGACGATGGATGCACGGCGATGAGGACCAAGACGAGGACGAAGACGGGGGGGGGTCCGGTACGGGGAAGGGGGG